TTGTGGCCCCAGAGCTCTCTGACAGAGAAGGCTCAATGTCTCACAAAGACTACAGTTCCCAGCACTCCCTAGCATTGAGCCAGGGCAGCCAAAGCAGTCCCAGACGGGATGATTTCCACAGTGTATTTTGGCCTCTCAGTCAGAAAGGTCTAGTGCCACAGTAAACTACAATTCCCAGTATTCATTAACATTGAGCCAGGGCAGTCAAAGAGGCCTCAAACGGGATTATTTCCACAGTGTATTTCGGTCTCTCTCTGTCAGAGAGCTCTAGTGACACAATAAACTACAATTCCCAGCATCCCCTAGCAATGAGTCAGGGCAGTCAAAGCGGTTTGAAACGGGCTTATTTCCGCAGTGGGGTTTGGACCATACTCCGATTCTAAGGCACTAGTCTGAACTCCTTCCCTCTGAGGAAAGAGGCCTCTGTTTCCTTTTCCCAAGAGAAAGAGGCGCCCTAAACCTGGCTGAGAGACCCCGTAACCTCTTCTCCTCTCCTCGCCGCCCACGAAGCCTCGGGGGCGGAATAGCGAGGCCAGCGAGGCGAAGCCCTCCCTCCCACAAGGGCCCAGGGAGACTCGCCTCCACGTCGATGTCCAGGAAGCCCCCCTCGGCCACCTCGAAGATGAGTCCCATCTTCGTCCCGGAGGGGACCCGCTCCAGGAAGCATTCCTCGGCGTGAGCGTCGATACTGACGAAGTAGCCGGCCGCCGGGGCCGAGAGCGCGGCCAGCAGCGCCAGTACCGCCCGCACCGGCGACATGGCGGCCACCAGGTGAGGAAAGCAGGCGAAGGACGAGGCGCGAGGCGCGAGCAGAGCGAATCGGCGTCGGCGGAGGAGCGCTTCCGGCCCCCGGCCCGCCCCTTCCGGGGCACGGGGCCCTCGCTCATAGGCCGCGGACAGGCCCTCTGCCACGTACAGGCCCCGGGAGGGCTCTGGGCGCCACTCAGGAGGCTCCAGGGAGGAGGGGGCGGGGCCAGGAGGGAGGCGCACCCTGATTGGAGGAGAAGGAGCCGAGCGAAGGAAGGCTACTCGCACTCTGATTGGACGAGGAGGAGCAGAGACGCAGGAAGGCCAGGAGCTGGGCTGGAGAGGGCGGGGGAGTGGTGACGTTTCTGCTGCTATGGAAAGCCAGCGTGGCCGAGTGGTTTGAGCGCTGGACTCTGACTCTGGAGAGCCGGGTTCGAATCCCGCCTCGGTCATGGCGACCCATTGAGTCACCTTAGGGAAGTCACACTCTCTCAGCCTCAGAGGATGGCCATGGCAAAGCCCCTCT